GCTGTGGAGACTCCCTCGTGTGTTGGCGCCCTTTTCCCAGGCTTCTGCACCACCGTAACACAGCTTGTCCTACCCCGGGCTCAGGAATGACACTGGAGGCTTTTCACTTCAAACAACCAAACGAAGCACTCAAAACCACAACCAAAGCTGGCCACTATTCAGTGGCTTCAAACTAGATTTTACAGTCCTTTTCTCCAAAACTAAAACCTCTGCTGGGCACTTTTCTTTGCTCTTTAAAGCTAGACTTTTCAGTCCTTTTCTCGCTTGAGATCTTCAGCTCTTCAGCTCTTCACTCGGTCTCTGCTGCTCGTCCCTTGCACTCTTCTCTGTTCTCTATCTGCTCTTTTTAAGAGGCACTCATGCTGCCAGCCAGATCAGCCTCAGTTAGCCTCAGAGTACTCGTTTCTCTGCCTCCCCAACACCACTGTGGCTCTGCAGCTAGGCCACCTAGGTTGAAAGTGCAGGTGTAGTGGAACAGAAGGCGGAGCCCTTCGTCCTCTCCAGGCTTTGTCCTTGCTTTGAGTTCGGGTCCTGCCTTCTTGACGCCTCTCGTGGCCATCATCAAGTCCTGGGGGATGGACGCATGCCATAGCCAGTTTATCAGAAACATCTAGATACCCCGACCCCCATCCCCACCCCCCAACACACAACTTGTTGAAAAAAAAACAATATGGTAAATTCAGTGAAGAAATACTAACTGTGCAGAAATGTGTTGTCTGTAGAGGATGTGTTATGGATGTGTTATCTTATTTTCAGTTACAAAATCAACAAAGCTTTAAATTTCACTGAGGTGCCCAAACTTTTGCATATGATTTTATGTATGACAAACAGAACATTATGAAAAGTTCAACAGATGGTTATTATGGTTTGGGATCCATATGGACAGAATCAGGGGGCAATTTCAAGGACATGTGGAAATATGAATTAGTTATTTAGGATGCTGAGATGTTTTGGCTTCTAATTGTTCATGCCTGTGTTGCAGGACTGCACCACTCCAGACTGACCACTCCCTCTCCATCAGAAGTGCTGTAGAGAACTCTGGCAGGATCTGACTGAGCTGTTGAGAAAGTAGGATTGAATTCACACAATAAAGAAAACAGGAATATTAGTTTGTACACAATGCGTTGATTGTTTCTACCTTTGTTTCTCTTAGTGTGATAAACCACAGCTACTATAATGTGGAGGAAGATCACAGTCACCAAGGCAAAGGGGACGAATGGCGGAGACTGTGGAGAAGCTGCAAAAAACATCTAACGATGAATCACATAATCCATATTATCTCAGCAGGGCAGCAGTACTGACCCTCCTGTATATGCTGTGATAGTTTGACAGAGTGCAGCCTGTAGAACCTTATTTTTTAGGTTGATAAGATTACTAAAAGAATGTATGACATGTCTATGAAGACATTCATAACACACTGTAATTCACACATAAAGTATTATGAACAGTTTGGTAACGGTTCATAATGCATAGTAAATATGGCTATACAGGCATTGTACTTACTAGTGAGTGAGCGGAGTTCGTTACTCTGATGTAGCAACAAGCTGCTTGTTAAGGAACTATAATTTGGTGGAACATTAAAGCATATTAAATGCCGCGTTCATGACCCAATTTATTTACTTCTTACTGTATTTATTTAACTGTTGTATAAAAGCAATAGAACACTCGAGGTCTCAGTTTCTGTAAATATAGTAAATTAAAGCTGATCTCACTTACAGCCTTGTAATATTAAATTTAAACTAATCTCAACTGATCATCTGATCTCAAATTCCAGTGTTAAAACTTTCAGTGTTGAAGAATGTTTAATGTCATTAACACTAAAGTTTCAACACTACCAACAGTGTTGAAAATATATATATATATATATATATATATATATATATATATATATATATATATATACTGTATAAATATATATATATATATATATACTGTATAAATATATCTCCGTATAAATGGGAAAAATCTAGATTCTAGACTACATCACAAACTGCCCCTCCTGCTCCTGCAGTGCCAGCTCCCCATCATGTTCCTGTGCTGGTCTCCCAGTCTCCTGCACAGCTGGCCTCTGTGGCTGATGGAGCACCCTCAGGCTCTGTACTTGGACCTCTCCCTGACCCAGGCTCAGTAATTTTTGAAATTTTGAAATTTTGTAAAGTTACAGATTCTGTCTCATAGAAGCCTCTTGGCCAGTCCCCATCAGGTTCATTTGGTGTGTGCCCCCTGTTCCGTTGTACTTCTTGAGCTGTGCTTTAGTGGGGGAGGGGGGGGTTCTGTCACAACCTGTCTCCTGAATTAGGATTTCTTTGCTGAGGCTGACCTCAAATAGCTTCCCCAAAATAATTCACTCACACACATATCCTTCCTCATCTCATCTGTTACACTGTAGTCCATAATTACTCTCATCTCTGTCCAGAAAACTGACCATAAGAAGCTTAAAAAGTAAAGAAGTACTCACCTTCAGAGACGTGAAGCCCAATGAAGAGAAGATAAAAAGTCAGCAACATCCTCACTAGTAAAACAACACTGAGTTCACAGCACACTGACAGCTCCACACCCAGCACTGCACTAGCCCTGTATACCACACTGAGTACACAGCTCTCTCAGCAGCTCTTCGCTGGAGTCTAACCCACTCTAATGTCTGTGCCGCTCACAGCAGCTGGGAGATAATCAGCTTCAGTAGAACTATTCTATGTTTTAATGGTTTCGTCAACACCTTCATCAGACGTAGAAAACCACACATAGCGCCATGGTGTAATCTGAGACATGACAACACTTTCTATTTCCTCTTTTGTTCTGCATCATTTTGCAGCAAACACCCACACTTTATTTTGGGAAGGGGTTAAGGGGAGAAGTTGAGTATCTGCTTCAGATGACAGTATGAACATGAGGAAGAAAAGAAATAGCTGACTAACAAAAAGTTATTAACTCTTTTCCTTACCCTCCATTTCTCCTTCTCTAAAATACTGAGGTGCTGCAACAGTAAAGGTTGTAATGCAACACTGACCTCAATGCTGTATTGTGTGTTTATTATGGTATTTGCTACTAAACTCAGCACTCATCCTCATACCGTGAAGGCAAAGTCTATCAGTGTATAATTTTCAGCTTATGCTGTGTACCAGTCATTCTGGTCGATCATCAGGTGTGATCATTTTAAAAATGCATTTTTTACAGGTACAACCCATTAAACATTCTCATGAGCCAAACTCTGTTATTGGGATGCAACCCTTTCACTTAACCACAATGATGACCCATCACAGACCTAAGCATAGTCCAACTGATAAAGTCAGTGTTCCATATATAGCTTTGAATGTGTAAACAAAAACCAAGTCACTCAGTTCTGGTAACGTGTGATTTCATGCTTTTCCAAGAACTGATACCCCTTTCACTAACTAGTTTCACTAGTTCCCTCTCTGTCCTTTGTGTAGTAATGAGATGTGGTCACATGGTAATCCAGTGTCAGTGTGGTCTATGCCTTTAGTTTGCTGATGCTATAATAGTATATAACATTGTTTATGCAACAATTTAGGGAAGCCTGAGTGTCAGGAGTGGACGGTGGTGTGAGGTCAAACACAAAGTTCGGTTCCAAGGCTCGAGTCTCGAGTTGGGAGTCTGAGTTGAGTTTCAGGCATGAGGTATCTGGTCCTAGTTGAGTCTCAAGTCTCAAAGGTGCAAGATGTGAGTCAAGATAAAGTTCCAAAATCAGTTCAGCACTGCTTCTCATTCGTTCTAGAATCTGCTCATCCATTTTCATCTGACTTCATGTGAGACAGATTGCTGACCTACAGTAGCCAGATTGGTTTCTGCCACCAGCAAAGTCATCAGTTGCAGGCAAAGTTGTATGTCGTTATAATAGCAATGTATTCAGTTATTATCTTGATTATTTATATTTGCATATTTATATGTGTATATTCTTATTACGAAAGTCGTCAAAGCTGTAGTTTTTACACAGCTTAAATGACAAGTAAAGAGGCAGTTAGCAAATCCACACCTGTAAAGAAGAACTTGGTTCTGTGTTAACACCCCATATTATTTTAAAGGGGAACTCTAGACATTTTCCAAAATTTCTGCATAATTGCAAGGTTTAAATGTAAACAAGGTCATTCAGAGGGGTTCGCTGTGAAATGGTTCATTCTATAGAAACTTACCAAGGGAGCATTGTGATAGGAACCAGATATCTAAAGTGTTTAATGTCTCTAAAACTTCCCTCTCACAAGGTTATGAATACACTGCCTAATTCTTGAAAAACTCTTTAACACTGGTTTTGAGAAGGTTTTGGGCTAAAACTTAACTGGTCATTTTGAAAAGTAAATAAATTGGTTATATTTGAGCCGCACACACTTTACAGCGGAGGTTCTTTTTACCAGTTTTTTTACGCAGTCTTTTTACACAGTTGTCATGGTGTATGGGGTGTTTATTTAGTCGTTGGTAGGGAGTTGCCAAGCAGTAGCTATGTGTTGTTGAAAATGAATGGGAGTCTATGAGAGGAATGAGGGATGAAACAACTTACACATAGAGGAGTGTGGGTCAGTATGGCTACGGATTAGAGACACCCTGAATGAGCACATGCAGTTTGATAGCTGGAGGGCAAAGAAGTAATAGAGTTTGTGTGGTGACGAAAATGAATGCGACTCTATGGGAGGAATGAGGAAAGAAAATAAATGACAAATGGATGAAAGTGGGTCAGAACAACGAGTTATTTATCATTAATTAATATATTCACATTACTTTATAAAAGACATGTACGCTCTTACTTCACAATGAACGAATGAGCTTCTACTACATAATTAACAAATCATGTACTAACCAGAAATTTACTCATTATTTCTTAATAAAGTTTGCATATGTTTATATATGTCTGCTTTTTTCTATTATTTTATAATAAATTAAAGATTAACAAATTACTTTCAGATCTATTTGAATCTATTTGAATTTGTGACAAAATTTAATAATGACACCATAAAAAATAACAGACACTGAAGCCATTTGAGAGAGTGTTATTAATTCAGTCTGATGGTGACATATTCCGTCTCATTTCCAGTGTCGATCACTGTGGGTGAGCTGGTTCTGTTACTGTGGACTACTGTAGAGTACGTCACCTGATCCTGCAGAGAGAACACAAATGTTAGTATACACAATTATTTAAAGTTGCAGTATATTTAAACTACAAACGAATTACATTACAATGAACTACCGCCCAAGGCTGGCCTTGCACGGTGACCTTTTCATGCAAGAAGTTGCATGCTGTGAGTTGCATGCAATTTTATTTTTGTGCAACTTGACCGTGCAACTTGCATGCAAAACATCTGACTACATTACTTATCAAATTAGCTGGATACACCCTACACTAGCAACCATACAAAAAGAGATCAGGAGGATCTTTTTTTCAAGCATACAATAACCTTCTTATGTTTTATTTGCTTTTTCACTGGCCCAGTGAAATCAGTTGTTTGAAATGATCAGGTGATGCAGTATCAGTGTTTTGATTGGCTGCTTCATAAAACCTGTTTCATGAACTTGAGATGTTTGCAACTGTTGCGGCTGAATTTCAGGTGAGTTGCAGGATGTTTTACATTATGCAACTCAAGTGCAATTTAGTTTCATGTAAGCTGCAGTAAAGATCACAGTGTAAAGCCAGCCAAACATGCTGCCTTAAGTATACTTAAAAATAACTCAATGTATGGGTAATATCTTGGCCTCGGGCTAGGCTTCCTCCAGCAGCTAGGGGGAGACAAAGAATCAGTTCAGGCTGATTAGGGCTGATTAGGTGCAGCTGTGGATGCTCTACTTAAGGAGAATTCTCCCACACCTAGCTCTTTAGTCTTGGCTCTATGCTGCTATGTGCACATCTCTCTGATGAGCTGGTAAATAGTATTTTCTTTCTGTCTTATCTCAGTAACTCTGGGTTCTCTCGCAGTTGTTTCTTTGAGTGAGTATTTAAAAAAAAGCCTTTCAAGTTTTGTTTGTGCACTTTCTTTGTGTTCAGTCGAGTCAGGGCACTTTTTTGTTTGTATGAGTTCTTTTAGGCCATTTAGTTGATGTGACTGCTGGGGGGGGTGGGGTCAATGTTAAGGTATAAGAGCTGTGTGTCTACCCTTCTGTTGAGACTGGGCATTGGTGGCAGAGATGGACAGAGTGCTCTTTGAATAAAATTATTCATTCCTGCAAACACTGGTCTCCTGACTCTGCTTTGTGGCAAGGCCAAAGATTTAAATCAACCCAAAATTTGTTTACTGTAGAAAAACATCTTTTGATTTCATGAAATGTCCTAATTTCCCAAATCTCTAGAAACATGTTCACTGTTTTGTTTTTTAGCTGCTTAGCTTCATTCTCCTCATTCATTGAGGACTCGCTTGACACCCTCTTGCATTTTGTGATCATGTGTTTGATGTATATAATGGGAGAAACAGGAAGCTACTAGGCTTCCCTTAAACTGGCTCTGATGCCAATCCTTCAGAAGTGGTGTAAACATAGAACCCCAACAATTTAACATCTTATTTCCACAGGATGAAATCAGTGATTTTGATCACTGAAACATAAATGTATATAGGTTAAGAGTGTCCCACCTTACCCCATGTTCTACTTTACCATTATTCACCCTATGTGAACTCGCCTGTGTTTCCTGCTCTCTCCTCGTCCCTCTTTTTTCTCGACTCTCCATCTGTCCTCGTCTCCGTCCTGCAGAATGAAACCATACAGAGTGAGATATAGATTCCGCACACATCTCAAAAGACTGTGTATGGTCTGTGTACCTCTGTGTCTGCAGTAGATGATTCCTCCGAGTCCCAGCAGGAGCAAAAGAATTGGAATAAAGATGAAGAAATGCATGCTGGGGACAGTAGTTTGAGAAGGGGCAGTACCTTTGTGTGACAAACCAAAAAATGTGGGGACACATTTATACATTAATTGGTATGTGAGTCGAAATATGCAATTAACTGAATATTCAGAAATGGGGATGAATTAGGAACCATTTGAAGAAGACAATAATAGCTTTCCACATAAAGGTTGTTTCATCTTACTTTCAACTGGAACCAAAGTGCCTGGCCTTTGAAAGAATGCTGTGGTTGGACTGGTTGAGGTGTTGACCGTTACAGTAGATTTTGTTGAGCCCCCTGTAGGGAGAAAAGGATTTGATAGGACAAGACAGCAACTCTGTTATTGTTACACTAAAACATAAACTGTTAGAAATAAAGGTTCTGTTCAGGTACGTTTTTTGTTCATCAAGGTACAAACAATATGAATGTTCCCTCAAAGGTGCAACAGCGGTTTTAAGGTCCAATTGTGAACCTTAAATAAGTTTTTCCAGGTAAAAAGTACTGTAACCTAATGTTGTAAAACAGAACAATAAAATAAAAGCCTGGAGACGAGACGTGGGTGTGTGGAGTCAATACAACTGAGGAAATATAATTTCAATGGATTATGGTACATTTATGTTCCCTGACTAAACATACTGAGATGTGCCTTTGAGGGTACCACCCCAGTGACAGTTTAGTCCCTTTATTTTTGAGAGTGTAGAGTCAGGCAATAACATAGGATTGGCACTGACCAATAAGAAAAAAAAAAAAACTTGATAATTGTAAATTGTCTCAATGGAAACAAGAGATATGGTTATATGTGAAAGTTTGGTCAGCCCTGATCAAAATGTTTTGTTGATTTAAGCCAATTTGTTGTTTACCATTTATTTTTCTGGAATTAATATACTGAAGAAAAAATAAATACATCTTGGGTACCCTTTCAGTTGATCCACTGGTGTTTGTTAAACATTTCAGAGCTTATGTGACTCATTAGGCCTTAATCAAAGTCAGGTGTAGACAATTCCGGGGACCTTCCAAACCTTGAGCTGACACATAGTGCAGTATTGTTACACAAACATTATCTACATGGAAGCGTCGTCAGAAGGTAACCGTAACTGTGATCTCAGCACAAAAGTGGATCTGTTATGCTTTGGGGTTGTTTGGAAGCTAGCAGAGCATGAAATGTTGTGAAAATGGAAGAAAGATTCTACTAAAAATCAATAAATTCTGGAAGAAGATGCCCCAAATCAAAATAATAATATACAAAAAGATTGGGCATAATGACAGGACAATGATTCAAAACATTAAAATCAACATTGAACTACTTCAAGAAACAAAGGTTTTTGAAATGTTCCCATGCCTGAATATTACTTAAAATTAGATCTTAATCATTTGGTGCATGGAAGATGATCTATTATAATTCTCAACTATAAGCATTCTTCATAGAAACGAAGCTTCTTAAAAAAAACAAAATTAAGAATAGAAAGTCTCTTCAAAAAACTACACATTTTCATTAGTTTTTACCAATAAAGCACAGAAAGGGTCCCAAAACTTATGCACATTTTTTTTTAAATATGTTAAATTCAGCTCCTAAATATTTACTGTGGATTAAAATGAACAAAATGTCATATTTAAGTTTGTTTCATGCAGTGTTGATGTTAACTTCTTTTCATTAAAAAAATATGTAATTTGAACAGTGGTGCCCAAACTTTTGCATATATCTATAAATATATATTTAACTGTTTTTGTTTTTATAATGTGATCAAAGCCAGAACTAACTACTTTCTAATAACAATTACTAATAACCAATGTAGGTCTTTTCAGTCATGTTTTTCCCCATTCACACTAATGTATGTTAAAATTTTACCTTCAATGGTGAGTTTGATGTATACATATTTATTATTTTCAGCTTCACACCAGTAACTTCCTCCATCCTCTTCAGTCAGGTGTGATATGAGTAGAGAGAGATTTCCTGGAGAGTGACCATCAAACAGCTGAACTCTGTTTCTGTACTGACCACTATTATTGGATATCTCCTCCAATTTGCTTGTTTCTGAGTTTTGTTTGGTCCAGCTGAATATCTTAGGTTTGGTGTGTAGGTCAGTGCAGTAGCAGGGCAGCAGTACTGACTCTCCTCTAAATGCTGTTAATTTCAGTACTTTTTCAGTGTTTTCCAGAGTGCAACCTTGAAATGAGTGAAACATTTATGAGTAAGGTAGAGCTAAACACACTGAACCCACTGATATGACTGCACTTTAAAAACAATAAACTCAGGCAAAAGCTTAGAACATTCTTCAAAGCAAATTATCAATGTCTCTATTCTGGCTAATTTTATGTATACTAAACCTAAAGAAGAGTAGATGTAAGCTCCTGGAATGACATCCAAACTATTCTGCAGTTAATCACAATTTTAGTTGATGGCCTAGCAGTTTCTGATATAGCCTTATTTTTACCATCTACCAGTTTCTGATATAGCCTTATTTTTACCATCTACCATTTGCATGTTGAACATATGATGGTTTTGTAATGCACTTCCAGTATGACCGTGCCGAACGTCCTTCACATCAGATTAGCCAAACTTATTTCTCACTTTTTTTTAACTATGAGAACTGAAACCATGACAAAAACCACAGATCACAGGGATGGTAGTCTAGCAATGTAATCTCTACAATGTGAAACACCCACTTCATGTTTCACCAAGGTTTTTCCCTGCACAGTTTATCCATGTTTGCCATCTTTACACTTTGCAAAGACTATAGTAATAGTCTTAATTCAGTGTTAACTTTTGATTGAAAACAAAATGATTGAAATGCCTAATGGAAAACTGTCCAATCAGAATTTTTGTATTGTGTATAATCTATGATATCTAGGTAGGCACAACCAAGCTTTCCCATTGGCCAGGCCTTTAGGAGCTAAACTAAAGGCCTTGCACAATTGTCAGCTTATTAAAGAAGTGACAGTGGAACATCAACCCATCATTTTTTTTATTTACAATATGTAGGACTAATTTTGTGAAAAAAATGTTGCTCTAGGCCTTCTGGAAGTACTAGATACACCACTGACTACAAATGCAAGCTGTGAAAATTGGAAAACATTGGTGGCATAAATGTTGCTAGTTAAATAAAAATATGAAAAGTCTTCTACAAGCTTCAAATGTCTGTGTTGAATCTAGAAAAAAAGTCATGTGCACCACCATTACTCTAGCACTAATATACCATTAGTAAGCCTTAGCATTAACACATTCCTATTTTTGATATTTATGGAAAAGCCATGTCATGCAACTCTGACCACATGAACTTCTATTTTTCATGTTTATTCAAGAATTCATCCCTCCGTTCTGTGGTTTCTCTCTGGCATTATTAAAAGGGCTTACAATGATGTGAAAAAGTGTGTAGGCCAACTTGGTAGATATGATGTCCAAACATGCTAATGTCCTGCAATCAGGCTGTCACCCATTTGTGACAACCATGCAGTCGTCATCCTACCTATTCCAACCCTTCCACCCCATGGTGATACAAAACAATGGCAATCAGCCAGAAAGCAGTTCACTAATCAGAAGTTCGGTCTGGATACTTTTGGGCATATAATTTATTTTACATCATGCAAAAAGGTTAGTATGACCATAAATGGCTAAAAATGTGTGGCTAAAAAGGTGATATATATATATACTCTACATGTAAGTTTACATTTTTATGTCATGAGTTACAAATGAAAAGATTGGACGCTCACCTTCAGAAACACGAAGCCCAATGAAGAGAAGATAAAAAGTCAGCAACATCCTCACTAGTAAAACAACACTGAGTTCACAGCACACTGACAGCTCCACACCCAGCACTACACTAGCCCTGTATACCACACTGAGTACACAGCTCTCTCAGCAGCTCTTCACTGGAGTCTAATCCCACTCTAATGTCCGTGCAGCTCACAGGAGCTGAGAGAGAATCAACTTGGACTGATGTCAACTGTCTCTTAAATGTATCGTTAGCACGTCTGTGACTTTCACAGAGCCGCACACAGAGTCGTTGCAACATTTCCTGTTTGCTCTTTTTGTAGCACAGTGGTCTGCAGGACACATGGCAACACTGGCTAAGTCATTGCCTCTTCAGTGGATGTTTGGTGGGGGTGGGGTTTAGGGGGAGTGATGACCTAACAAGTTCTGATATAGCTGTATTTTTATCATCTACCATATGCATGTTGGACATATAATGGTTTTGTAATGTACTTTAAGTATGACACTGAACATCCTTCACATTAGATTAGACAGATTATTTCAGCGCTTTTTTTTTGTGGGGGGAACTGAAACCATGACAAACACTTCAGACCCAAGATCACAGAGATAGTAGTCTAGCAATCTCCATTTAGCCATCCATAATTTTTAGCCACTCAGCAACTGGAATAAGTCAAGTTTACATGAAGTGTAGAAGACTGTTTAATATATAGTGCCATTTACATGCACACCAGTATAGTCTGACTTTACAGTGTGAAACACCCCCTTCATGATGCACCATGGTTTGTCCCTGCATGGTTTATCCATGTTTGCCATATTTAAAGTATGCGAATACGGTAGTATTACTGTTATTGTTAACTTTTGATTGAAAACAATATGACTGAAATGCCCAGTGGAAAATTGGGATTTTTGTACTGTACATAATCTGTAATATCTAGGTAGACACAACCAAGGTTTCCCATTGGTTAGGCCTTCAGGAGCTGAACTAAAGGCCTTGCACAATGAATAGCTTGATTAAGAAGTGACAGTGGAATCAACCCATCATGGTTTCGTTTACAAAATGTGAGACTAATTTTGTGAGAAACAGATGTCACTCTAGGCCTTCTGGACATTCTAGATACTGACTACGAATATGAGCTGTGAGAAATGAAAAAAAAAATGGTGGAATCTCTGTCCATGACTTTTTACAAGTTTCAGATGTCTGTGATCAATCTATAAAAAAAGCCGTTTGCATTACCGTTACTGTAGCACTGATATACTGTTAGAAAGCCTCTAAGGGTTTTTTCTATATTTTTATATTCATGGTCAAACCATGCAGTGCAGCTCTGACCTCATGAACTTCTCTTTTTCTTGTTATTTCTTTCAAAAACTGTCATCGCTCAGTTCTGTGGTTGCTGTCAGGCCTAATACAACAAAAGCAATCAGTCAGAAAACTGGATTCACATAAACATCCAACACTGCAGTGCCCTTCACTATAAAGCATGCGTCTGATCACCAGAGAAATGTTTGGCCTATGACGATGGCATATCTAAGATAAAATCAGACCCAGCAAAGGAAAAAACAACACAGCAAAATTAAAAATCCAAACCTAATCATCCTAGGCTAAAGCTTACTGCCACAGCAAGCCTTAAAAATGTTTATCGTTCATTTATGCCTTACTTATGATGACTCCAATGTTTTGTTATCTTAAGAAAGTTTGGATTAATAAATATTCTTTCTCTGTTTGATTGAGTAGGCCTGTGATCAATCTTGGTAGACATGTCCAGACCTACCTATGGCTATGCCGTTGGCTCATGGTAATCTAATATCTATACGATTTTGTTTGCAGCTTATAGGATCCCAAATGGCAACTATTTTTTTGCAATTCTTTGTTAACTCCTTAAAAGGGCAGGGCCAAAGTTTTATTACTAACATCTAAAACCTAAGAATAACTCAACCTATTTGCATTGGAGTCCCTGCACTGTTACTGAATAGTGAGCCTTAGTATGCAAAAAGGCTGGGATTTTGAGGGGTTAATATGGTAGTGTTGTAGTGTGATGCGTACATTGGCACTAATGGTCATACATAATTGTTATTTTATGTTGTTATAAAAATAAATAAATAAATACAAATTGCAATCCAAAATTGGCAAAAAAGAAAAAAATTGCAACAAGGTTTTTTTAAGTACGAAACAGCGTATTGTTTTATTTTACTATTAACTTCGATTAATTATCAATCATTGCTTATTTGGTAACACCACTGAAATATAAATTGTATAATTTTTTAAAATGATACATTTAAACATTTTTGTGATTGCAAACTTATTTGCCAGTTCAATTTGAATGCAATTTCATTTTCATGTTTCATTCACAATATGTGGATTTTTGTAGTAATCCTTTCGATCAGTCCGATGGTCAGGTGCTATAGGTCAGCAGTACTAACGCACATGAAACATTTATATATTGTGTGTATTCAAGTCATACAAAAACCAGTAGGATAAAAACTACTTGATTGATAATATTTGTACATTTGGTTCTCTTGGTTTGATCGACCACAGCCACTACGATATGGGGAAAGATTATAGTTGGCAAAGGGGCAGAGATTGTGGAGAAACTAACTATCATTCTCACACATATTGCATAAAGCACCCTTCCACATTTCATCTCCCTGGGCTCAAGTTCTGAGAAAATTAGGTGTAGAGTGCCCTCCAGTGGTTGAATAGGCTCAGCGCAAATGTACAAGGTTGCAGCAACACTCTTAACAGGGTTAAATATATTGAGTTTGCTATTACCTTTTGGAGAAGATGGTGATGCAGTTTAGTCATTTACTAGTTTAGTAATCAGATGATTTTGCCATTAACCAATAGCCTTGAATCTGGGTTCTGTATATTTATCTCTGAAGAGGAATTCCAATGATTTAAAAAAAATCTACATAAATAAAAAAGATGCAAACAATGTAATTTCGAGTGCCTTGATGTGAAATGGTGCATTCTAGAGAGACTTACTGAGTAGGAATCATCCACAGCGGTGGTGATAGGAACCAGGTGTCTGAAGAGTTTAATGCCTCTGAAAGCTCTGTTACAGAAAGTTTTTACACCAAATGGCTATGAATGCATTGGCTGATGCTTGAGACATGGTTTTACTACAGTTTTATAACAAGATTTTACATTTAAAAAATAGTCGCAGTGTGTTATAAGGCAAATACTTCTCAAAGAAAAATGTTTGTTTGTTTGTTTGTTTGTTTGTTTGTTTATTTATTTATTTATTTATTTATTTATTTATTGGAATTTTTCTATTTTGCTGTTATTATCATACATGTTCATGTTAGCATACTTATAAAAGACTGTATATATATATACAGTAGTTTAGTAAATATAAAGGAATTGGATGTTGCATGTTGTTTTAAATATAGAACATTAAATGCACATGAACTCAACTGATTGTCAAAAAAAGAAAAACTCCTACTCAGATCTGTAACAAGGACTTTGGAGATTTAAATTAAAATGTAAGGTGTACTTTTTTCTCTTGGAAGCATTATTTAAAGTAAAATAATAAAGTAAAAGTACATGTATTTAATAATAATAATGTTATATAATGTGCAGTAATAATCAAGTAATGTACAAAGCTTCCTAAGTACTACTTAAATATAACAACAAAGTACAATTTCTTAAGTATTTTCCACTCTTAAACTGTATACAAACAGATTCCTGCCCTTTATGTGATGCATCTTTTCCCAATTCACTCATGCATTTGTATGCAAAAGTCAAAACTAACACATCATCTACAGGGAGCACACCTTTGCATATTTTAATGCACAGTTACTGTTTCTATCTGAATTTATCATCAATTTAACCTCAACAACAATGACAAATCAGCCTTCAGTGAGGAGGTAGCTTCAAGTTCGAGGGCATCCCCATCTCTGAGGATCTGCCTTGGAACTTCAACATAACATTGATATTGATGATTTTCATATATATTTCTGTAAATTTATTTTTAAATATCTATGTAGACATATATCACTTTTTGAAATAAAGCAATTGTTCTTTAACTAGTTTATACATATTTTGTATATTTAATACTATCTATCTATCTATATATATATATATATATATATATATATATATATATATATATATATATATATATATATATATATATATAATGGGAAGAAAAGTTATAGTACCTTTTATGTTTTCTATTTTATTTTTTTCCAATATGTTAAATTCAGCAAATCAATAGAATTGTAGCATTTTTTCTGCACATTTTAATGCTCAATTTAAGTTCTCTGTAAAAGATGTTTTTAACTCATTTTAACTTAGAAAATCAACAATGTAATTTGACCAGGGGTGTCATAACTTTTGCATACAACTGAATTTATGTTCTACAACACACTTCAACTTGACTGCCAATGTATTGACCTGCAGTCAGAGGTGTTTGTTTAAGTCTATCCAGTTCTAATCTGTGCACCTTGTTGTGCCTCATTTTCCCACTAGGGGGTGCACTCTGTTCACTGAGTGAGTGGCTTTCAGCCTCAGTTCTGTGGACATGGACACTCCTCTGTTCCTCCTGCACTGATACTTTCATTTAGTCACCAGACTGTTAGTGTAAAACAGAATATGTTAACAAATTATTGCTATAAATTAACCCAAACTGATTTAATCAGTAATTACATGGCATATTACCCTGTAATTACATGGAAAACATGTAAACTAGGTTGTTCTTAAATTATAGGACTGAAGATTGGAAGCGTGAGACTCCTAGTCACTGGAGTGGTCTATTAAGCACTGTATGACCTAAACAATAGATCCTGGAGGATCCAGTTCAAGGTAAGCTTGAGATCTTTGTTGATCTTCCAGGGCTGTGTGAGTTTGAGCGAGATCATTCTACAGTAGTATGGTTCTTCTGAAGCTCTTCCATTTCCAAAAAAACACGAATGCTTATTGGTATCATTAGGTGCATGGATCATTAATATACACGCCCCTGTCTCTTTCATCATAACTCACTTAAAGCATCCATCATGCTAAAGGCCTCCATGCCCAGATGTTTGTACTCATAATTCCAGACTCTACATCACTCTGCAGCTTGGAGTGGACAGATGTTGTAGATTAATTGAACGTAGCTAAGTGTGAGAACAGCTTGTGAAATGAGAAAGAACAGAAAACATCCGAGACAGTCGTGGTCAGTCGGAAAAAAGATGACAGAGTAGACCGGTAGCAATTTATGAGTGTGAATGTAGAAATTACATAAAACAGAGGACCAAAAAATGGAAAGCTGCTGATAGAGATAGTTGAATCATTTT